ATCATTTCTATGCAACAATGCAAACACGCTCATTACCATCTCCTCAATATACATGAAGAAAATGCACAACACTGGCCGAGCCCCACCATCGGACTCTGGCCTCAGCATGCAATAAGGCGACAAACTCATCTCCAGAGATGGATGGGGAGGAGGCACGGAGGGCGGCTGACCCAAGGAGAGAGGGGGCAGATCCTGGAGAGGGAGAGGAAAAGAAAGAATACACCAGAGAAGAACTAGAGGAGAAGACACACAGACCAAGAGCCGAGGAAGGCAATGACAGAGGATTAAGATGAAAGAGACAGGAGACGGAATGAACGAGAAATGAAGATGGGGAGGACGAGTAAGAGTCAGAAAAATAAGAGTTAGAAAATAGATGAGAGGGGGAGAGCAGAACTGAGGAAAAGATCTAGAAAGTGATCCAGAGAAAAGAAGAACTAATGAGGGAGAGGAGGAAATAATGAATGACCGATAAATCAGTGTATAGAAAGTAGGAGAGACAGAGGGATGGAGAAACACAAGATGAGGGGCGGGGGGACACTGCTCAAGTCAGGTGAACAAGGAGGGTCCCGGAGAGAGAGAAAGAAAAATAAAGGCACTCGCGCTGAGGGCCAGGTTTTTAAATCCAGACCCTTCTGGGTGCCGCGCGTCCGGGCGGCTGGGAGCCCCAGGGGCAGACCAGGGGAGCAAAGGGCTGGCTGAGAGCCTTGCACCGAAACTCCCGCGGCCCGGCCCACTCCCGGGAACCCCGGCCTGGCCCAGGGCTCACCCTGCGCGCCGCAGCCGCCGCCGTGACCACGCGGGCGTCCTCTCCTCCCCGGAGAACGAAGTTGGGCAAGTTCCCCCAAAAGTTTCCCCGTGTCTTCTCTGGACCCACCCAGGTCTGGGCAGCTGTGGGGACCGGCGGCCCGTCACGGGGCGCCTCTGGGGCCCCCTGATTCCGTCGCCCAGGATACTCCGGGTCCAGATTCCTGGACAAATAGGAATCCCTCCCGGTGCGGGCTCCAGGCCATGCACTCTGGCGTCCGTTCGGCTGCTAATAGCGGAAAGAGAGAACGCGAAAGAAAGAGAGAGGGAGAGAGAGAGAGAGAGGGAAAAAATACTCTCAGCTCAATTTAAGTCTCATGGAAAGGGCTTACAACTGTAATTAAATCATTAAATTCTTGTCTACGCTTCACAGAGCGGAGAGAAATTAACTTCCCACCAACCTCATTTTCTATTTGAACATGAAATAATGATTTTCTGCCCGTCTAATTACAAAGCCAACATCTGATCAAGCCAGCATCCAGAGGGGATTATCGCATGCACGAGTATTAGACCTCATTACCAGCTTGAGTGCAAAATTATTACATCTTGTAATTGGATGGTGAGATTTATATACAGATCGGCCCGGTTTCTGTAAGATTGTAATTACAAGCTTCGTTGGTTAGCTACTTATCAGAACTTTGCAGGAAAACAAAACAAATGACTGAGGAAAACGAGCATTTCATTAACCTGTAACCCGAGCGCGGGGGGAGGGAGCGATGGGAGCGCGCGCCGCCGCGTCGCCAGGAAGCAGAGGGCTCTCAGGCCCGCACCGCCACCCGGGGACTCCAGGCCTGGTAAGGAAGGACAGAAGATGGGACTCGGCAGGAAGACCCAGAGCTGCAGCGGCGCCCCCGACGGGGACGCACGTGCACCGTGAGGCTGGCCCAAGAGTGGGCCGGAAAGGGGCCTGGTGACTGTGGGCTGGCGCCCAAAGCGCGGCGCAGCACCCTAGCTACGCGGGCCTTGAGCACAGGACACACGTCGGGTCGCCGCTACCATTGCGCGTCTAGCGCACACAGCAGTGTGCATCTCGCCTTTGCGTTGGACATCCTCTGCACGCCCCGCGCTTGGGCCACAATGAAAGAGCGTCTACAGCGAGCCTCAGAAGCGCTTCATGCTCTGGGAACGTGGGAAGACCGCGAGATGATAGATAATCTTCTAACTCTCGTCTTTCCCAAATCAACTTCCCATTCACCTGCTTTTCCTCCCCCTGCGAGAGTGCCAATCTAGCCATTTTTAACCTTGGATTAAAAATCCCTGGAAGAGGTTCGAACTGCCCTGGGACCAGCGAGTTCAGTCCGGAACTGGGCTCCACTGGTCCGGTCCAGTTGGAGGCCAGCGCCACGTCGGGGTTCGGCTGCCTGGGACATCTAGTCCAGACGTGGGGCCAATCTCTCCCAATCGCGGCAGAGCTGTTCCCAGGTGCAGAGTAGGGGAGCGGTGGGGCCGCTTCTGCTCTGGGCGTGGGGCGCCAAGAGGGATCTAATTAAGCAAGGTTCTGGGGTCCGCGTCTGGGTCTTGAGATTCACCCTCCAGGCAGAGAACCCCCGGAGCCAGCGCGGCGGGTTACTGAGCAGCCTCGCCCCCTGTCCCTTTCCCGCAGTCTGGCGCGGCCAGGTCGATAGCTGGTTAGTACGGAGGAAGCATCTTGTAGGCACATCATTTTTTCTTTACCTTCCCATAAGAACTGAATTAAATATCGGGCGTTTCACCCAGGCACTTACTGCGCAGCCCCAGCTCCCCCACCTCGAAATTTCGCTCTGGTCTGGTGCCACTATTTTAAGCAAACTCTAGAACTTCAAGGCCGTCGAGGCTCGAGGTCTGACACCTAAGAAACATCCCAAGAAATAAAATTACCCTCAATTCTGTAACCCTGAGGTTTTTTTTTTTTTTTTTTCTGAGAAGATGAGTTCACGATTCCCTATGACACCGGTGGGAGGTTTGACCAGAAACGAAATCAGGCGCTGGAGGAAAATTCCAAGCCCAGATTGGCTTCTGATGGCCCCCCTTGGCCGATGCTCCAGCTAAGGCCAACACCAGGCACTAGGCAGAGGGGGGTGGGGAAGGAATCAGGGAAAACTAGCTCTGGCCCAATTTGGGAAGATCAGCCCTCAGCTCAAACGCCAAACCTGGTCGCCCAAAAACTTTCCTTTGTCTTTGCCCCGGGTCTTACAGGCGTTCACACCTACTGGAGCCCCGGATCTGTGCCAAGGCTTGTGAGAAAAGGCAAGGAATGGGGGTGGGGTTAAAACTCGGTACCGGTCAAGGGCAGAAAAGTCTCCCATTGAAGACCTGGGCTCCCCTGAGATTTTTTCAACTCTGGTGGGATTCGGATTCTATTGTTCGACCAGGCAGCACGAAGAGGCCAGTTTCAGCCTCCGAGCCGAGGCCAGAAACTCCGTGGCAGAGTCGCCGCCCCCACGCCGTCCCCTGGGCGCGCCCGCTGCAGCCAGGCCGGAGCGTCGGTCGCCGCCGCGGCCTAAAGCGCTTGGCCCGGAGCAGCGGCAATTCCCGGAATTTCAATACCGCTCTGGGCTGCAAGCCCTAATCCGTGAAGGTGGGCGCCTGGATACCGGGGTTTCAGGTTTGATTTAGGAAAATTTCACGATAAAACCAAAAGTCTCGCCTCCCATCCCCACGCGAGGCAGTACGAGGACCCTAGCGGAAAGAAATCGGGTGAGCGCGGGGACCGGGAAGTAGAGGAAGGATTAGTGAAAGGAAGGCTCTCCACAGACTGAAAATGGCAATGTAGAAACTTCTGGAAGCGCTCTCCAAAAGTTCCTGGGGCCATCGCCCGGACTCCTTGCTCCTCCCCCACTCCACTCTGCGCTTGGGTCCCGGGCGGGCTCCGCGAACACGTCGCAGCTACCCAGGACCCACGGGGCGCTCATCCTTCAGCATCGGACCGAGCCCGCGGTTTCTAATTAGATGTTCGCACCCACACACTGAGGCAGCCTTATGTGGGTAATGTCAGGGTTTGATCCTTCGGCGTAGGGGGCTACCTCGCCCCCTTGGGCAGTGAGATGGCCTTTGAAGACGCCTCTAGGACGCCTGCCTACTCCCCTACACCTCCAAGAGTAGCGGGGAGTCTAGGGATGCGGGCTGGAAAAAGGCCCGGGCAGATTGAACCCCGCGCCTGCCCCGGCCCAGGGTCCGGCCCAGGGAGCGGCACTGAGAGGCGGGAAGCGGGGAGGGGCGAGCTGACCCGGTATTAACCCCCGTCTTTGCGCTTCTCGCTCCCCCTCCCGGCGCAAACTGGAGGGGCGGGAAGCGACCATAGCGCGCGGATTGTGCCCCCACCCCGTCCCGCCCCGCGCGCGGTATCCGCGGGGGTGGGCGGCCTCGACTGTAAGGCGCCCCGGCGATTGGCGACTTCGGAAGGAGACGCGAGGAAAAGTCGAATAAGAAGGCGCGACGTCAGACCCGAGATTTGGGTAAGGGTGAGGGAGGGGAGAAGGCGAGGACGGACACACAGACATAGATACGGATGGACACACAAACACACCCGTACAGCACCCTAAGTGTCCACAACTCTAGGTCGCCTTAGCACAGGGCACAGAGTCCGGGACAGGGGTGGGGAGGGTCGTGTGAGTAGAGAAGGAGCTAGAAGAGATCAAAGGAACGAGAGAAAAAAGAGCGGAGAGAACAGAAAGGGGGGAATGAATAGTGAGAAAAGGAGAGAGGACGAGAGAAAAGAGAAGGGGAGAGTTTCTTAGCGTCCGGGAGAGCGGTAAAGCCCGAAGGAGCGAAAGCAAGCTTGGAGGGAAGAGGAGCGCGGGGAGGGAGGGGAGAGGAAGGGCGCGGAGGGGGAGTGAAAACTAGAGGAGGGCAAAGGAAGCGAGGCGCGACACTGCTCCGGGAGAGGAGGGCAGTGCGGAGCGAGGCGAGGGCAGAGGCAGCCCCGGCTGCGGAGAGGAGGCGCAGAGAGGAGGGGCTTGCGGCCCCGTAGAAATGTCAATCAGAGCCCGGAGCCCCGGGAATCTCCGCCAATCTGTTCGGACCTGACCTGGCTCCTCGTCGCCGCCGCCGCCGCCGCGGAGCAGATCAATAGGCGAGCGCAGAGCGCAGCGCAGCGAGGGAGGCAGAGCGGCCCCAGCCCGGCCCAGCCCCCGATGCGCGCCGTAGCCCGCGGGCGGCGCTGAGCAGGGCGGCCTCGGGGGCCGGGCCCCCTCTCCGTCGGTGCCCCACGGGCCACAATGTCCTTCCCTCAGCTTGGATACCAGTACATTCGCCCGCTTTACCCGTCCGAGCGCCCAGGGGGTGGGGAAGGAATCAGGGAAAACTAGCTCTGGCCCAATTTGGGAAGCCGTCCGAACCGCGGTTGAAAATGCATCATTTCTATGCAACAATGCAAACACGCTCATTACCATCTCCTCAATATACATGAAGAAAATGCACAACACTGGCCGAGCCCCACCATCGGACTCTGGCCTCAGCATGCAATAAGGCGACAAACTCATCTCCAGAGATGGATGGGGAGGAGGCACGGAGGGCGGCTGACCCAAGGAGAGAGGGGGCAGATCCTGGAGAGGGAGAGGAAAAGAAAGAATACACCAGAGAAGAACTAGAGGAGAAGACACACAGACCAAGAGCCGAGGAAGGCAATGACAGAGGATTAAGATGAAAGAGACAGGAGACGGAATGAACGAGAAATGAAGATGGGGAGGACGAGTAAGAGTCAGAAAAATAAGAGTTAGAAAATAGATGAGAGGGGGAGAGCAGAACTGAGGAAAAGATCTAGAAAGTGATCCAGAGAAAAGAAGAACTAATGAGGGAGAGGAGGAAATAATGAATGACCGATAAATCAGTGTATAGAAAGTAGGAGAGACAGAGGGATGGAGAAACACAAGATGAGGGGCGGGGGGACACTGCTCAAGTCAGGTGAACAAGGAGGGTCCCGGAGAGAGAGAAAGAAAAATAAAGGCACTCGCGCTGAGGGCCAGGTTTTTAAATCCAGACCCTTCTGGGTGCCGCGCGTCCGGGCGGCTGGGAGCCCCAGGGGCAGACCAGGGGAGCAAAGGGCTGGCTGAGAGCCTTGCACCGAAACTCCCGCGGCCCGGCCCACTCCCGGGAACCCCGGCCTGGCCCAGGGCTCACCCTGCGCGCCGCAGCCGCCGCCGTGACCACGCGGGCGTCCTCTCCTCCCCGGAGAACGAAGTTGGGCAAGTTCCCCCAAAAGTTTCCCCGTGTCTTCTCTGGACCCACCCAGGTCTGGGCAGCTGTGGGGACCGGCGGCCCGTCACGGGGCGCCTCTGGGGCCCCCTGATTCCGTCGCCCAGGATACTCCGGGTCCAGATTCCTGGACAAATAGGAATCCCTCCCGGTGCGGGCTCCAGGCCATGCACTCTGGCGTCCGTTCGGCTGCTAATAGCGGAAAGAGAGAACGCGAAAGAAAGAGAGAGGGAGAGAGAGAGAGAGAGGGAAAAAATACTCTCAGCTCAATTTAAGTCTCATGGAAAGGGCTTACAACTGTAATTAAATCATTAAATTCTTGTCTACGCTTCACAGAGCGGAGAGAAATTAACTTCCCACCAACCTCATTTTCTATTTGAACATGAAATAATGATTTTCTGCCCGTCTAATTACAAAGCCAACATCTGATCAAGCCAGCATCCAGAGGGGATTATCGCATGCACGAGTATTAGACCTCATTACCAGCTTGAGTGCAAAATTATTACATCTTGTAATTGGATGGTGAGATTTATATACAGATCGGCCCGGTTTCTGTAAGATTGTAATTACAAGCTTCGTTGGTTAGCTACTTATCAGAACTTTGCAGGAAAACAAAACAAATGACTGAGGAAAACGAGCATTTCATTAACCTGTAACCCGAGCGCGGGGGGAGGGAGCGATGGGAGCGCGCGCCGCCGCGTCGCCAGGAAGCAGAGGGCTCTCAGGCCCGCACCGCCACCCGGGGACTCCAGGCCTGGTAAGGAAGGACAGAAGATGGGACTCGGCAGGAAGACCCAGAGCTGCAGCGGCGCCCCCGACGGGGACGCACGTGCACCGTGAGGCTGGCCCAAGAGTGGGCCGGAAAGGGGCCTGGTGACTGTGGGCTGGCGCCCAAAGCGCGGCGCAGCACCCTAGCTACGCGGGCCTTGAGCACAGGACACACGTCGGGTCGCCGCTACCATTGCGCGTCTAGCGCACACAGCAGTGTGCATCTCGCCTTTGCGTTGGACATCCTCTGCACGCCCCGCGCTTGGGCCACAATGAAAGAGCGTCTACAGCGAGCCTCAGAAGCGCTTCATGCTCTGGGAACGTGGGAAGACCGCGAGATGATAGATAATCTTCTAACTCTCGTCTTTCCCAAATCAACTTCCCATTCACCTGCTTTTCCTCCCCCTGCGAGAGTGCCAATCTAGCCATTTTTAACCTTGGATTAAAAATCCCTGGAAGAGGTTCGAACTGCCCTGGGACCAGCGAGTTCAGTCCGGAACTGGGCTCCACTGGTCCGGTCCAGTTGGAGGCCAGCGCCACGTCGGGGTTCGGCTGCCTGGGACATCTAGTCCAGACGTGGGGCCAATCTCTCCCAATCGCGGCAGAGCTGTTCCCAGGTGCAGAGTAGGGGAGCGGTGGGGCCGCTTCTGCTCTGGGCGTGGGGCGCCAAGAGGGATCTAATTAAGCAAGGTTCTGGGGTCCGCGTCTGGGTCTTGAGATTCACCCTCCAGGCAGAGAACCCCCGGAGCCAGCGCGGCGGGTTACTGAGCAGCCTCGCCCCCTGTCCCTTTCCCGCAGTCTGGCGCGGCCAGGTCGATAGCTGGTTAGTACGGAGGAAGCATCTTGTAGGCACATCATTTTTTCTTTACCTTCCCATAAGAACTGAATTAAATATCGGGCGTTTCACCCAGGCACTTACTGCGCAGCCCCAGCTCCCCCACCTCGAAATTTCGCTCTGGTCTGGTGCCACTATTTTAAGCAAACTCTAGAACTTCAAGGCCGTCGAGGCTCGAGGTCTGACACCTAAGAAACATCCCAAGAAATAAAATTACCCTCAATTCTGTAACCCTGAGGTTTTTTTTTTTTTTTTTTCTGAGAAGATGAGTTCACGATTCCCTATGACACCGGTGGGAGGTTTGACCAGAAACGAAATCAGGCGCTGGAGGAAAATTCCAAGCCCAGATTGGCTTCTGATGGCCCCCCTTGGCCGATGCTCCAGCTAAGGCCAACACCAGGCACTAGGCAGAGGGGGGTGGGGAAGGAATCAGGGAAAACTAGCTCTGGCCCAATTTGGGAAGATCAGCCCTCAGCTCAAACGCCAAACCTGGTCGCCCAAAAACTTTCCTTTGTCTTTGCCCCGGGTCTTACAGGCGTTCACACCTACTGGAGCCCCGGATCTGTGCCAAGGCTTGTGAGAAAAGGCAAGGAATGGGGGTGGGGTTAAAACTCGGTACCGGTCAAGGGCAGAAAAGTCTCCCATTGAAGACCTGGGCTCCCCTGAGATTTTTTCAACTCTGGTGGGATTCGGATTCTATTGTTCGACCAGGCAGCACGAAGAGGCCAGTTTCAGCCTCCGAGCCGAGGCCAGAAACTCCGTGGCAGAGTCGCCGCCCCCACGCCGTCCCCTGGGCGCGCCCGCTGCAGCCAGGCCGGAGCGTCGGTCGCCGCCGCGGCCTAAAGCGCTTGGCCCGGAGCAGCGGCAATTCCCGGAATTTCAATACCGCTCTGGGCTGCAAGCCCTAATCCGTGAAGGTGGGCGCCTGGATACCGGGGTTTCAGGTTTGATTTAGGAAAATTTCACGATAAAACCAAAAGTCTCGCCTCCCATCCCCACGCGAGGCAGTACGAGGACCCTAGCGGAAAGAAATCGGGTGAGCGCGGGGACCGGGAAGTAGAGGAAGGATTAGTGAAAGGAAGGCTCTCCACAGACTGAAAATGGCAATGTAGAAACTTCTGGAAGCGCTCTCCAAAAGTTCCTGGGGCCATCGCCCGGACTCCTTGCTCCTCCCCCACTCCACTCTGCGCTTGGGTCCCGGGCGGGCTCCGCGAACACGTCGCAGCTACCCAGGACCCACGGGGCGCTCATCCTTCAGCATCGGACCGAGCCCGCGGTTTCTAATTAGATGTTCGCACCCACACACTGAGGCAGCCTTATGTGGGTAATGTCAGGGTTTGATCCTTCGGCGTAGGGGGCTACCTCGCCCCCTTGGGCAGTGAGATGGCCTTTGAAGACGCCTCTAGGACGCCTGCCTACTCCCCTACACCTCCAAGAGTAGCGGGGAGTCTAGGGATGCGGGCTGGAAAAAGGCCCGGGCAGATTGAACCCCGCGCCTGCCCCGGCCCAGGGTCCGGCCCAGGGAGCGGCACTGAGAGGCGGGAAGCGGGGAGGGGCGAGCTGACCCGGTATTAACCCCCGTCTTTGCGCTTCTCGCTCCCCCTCCCGGCGCAAACTGGAGGGGCGGGAAGCGACCATAGCGCGCGGATTGTGCCCCCACCCCGTCCCGCCCCGCGCGCGGTATCCGCGGGGGTGGGCGGCCTCGACTGTAAGGCGCCCCGGCGATTGGCGACTTCGGAAGGAGACGCGAGGAAAAGTCGAATAAGAAGGCGCGACGTCAGACCCGAGATTTGGGTAAGGGTGAGGGAGGGGAGAAGGCGAGGACGGACACACAGACATAGATACGGATGGACACACAAACACACCCGTACAGCACCCTAAGTGTCCACAACTCTAGGTCGCCTTAGCACAGGGCACAGAGTCCGGGACAGGGGTGGGGAGGGTCGTGTGAGTAGAGAAGGAGCTAGAAGAGATCAAAGGAACGAGAGAAAAAAGAGCGGAGAGAACAGAAAGGGGGGAATGAATAGTGAGAAAAGGAGAGAGGACGAGAGAAAAGAGAAGGGGAGAGTTTCTTAGCGTCCGGGAGAGCGGTAAAGCCCGAAGGAGCGAAAGCAAGCTTGGAGGGAAGAGGAGCGCGGGGAGGGAGGGGAGAGGAAGGGCGCGGAGGGGGAGTGAAAACTAGAGGAGGGCAAAGGAAGCGAGGCGCGACACTGCTCCGGGAGAGGAGGGCAGTGCGGAGCGAGGCGAGGGCAGAGGCAGCCCCGGCTGCGGAGAGGAGGCGCAGAGAGGAGGGGCTTGCGGCCCCGTAGAAATGTCAATCAGAGCCCGGAGCCCCGGGAATCTCCGCCAATCTGTTCGGACCTGACCTGGCTCCTCGTCGCCGCCGCCGCCGCCGCGGAGCAGATCAATAGGCGAGCGCAGAGCGCAGCGCAGCGAGGGAGGCAGAGCGGCCCCAGCCCGGCCCAGCCCCCGATGCGCGCCGTAGCCCGCGGGCGGCGCTGAGCAGGGCGGCCTCGGGGGCCGGGCCCCCTCTCCGTCGGTGCCCCACGGGCCACAATGTCCTTCCCTCAGCTTGGATACCAGTACATTCGCCCGCTTTACCCGTCCGAGCGCCCAGGGGGTGGGGAAGGAATCAGGGAAAACTAGCTCTGGCCCAATTTGGGAAGCCGTCCGAACCGCGGTTGAAAATGCATCATTTCTATGCAACAATGCAAACACGCTCATTACCATCTCCTCAATATACATGAAGAAAATGCACAA